AAACTGGTCGTCACTCAATTTTTCAACCCAGTACAAGCTTTATGCAGGTCAAAGAGAAACAACAGAGCAGTGTGTTTAAAAAGGCAACTGAGATGACACTTGGACAGACAGTGTTTTGCAAAACCGAGCATGACAATAAACCTGCCCCTTCTGTGGAGGACACAACCTTCTTGAAAATTATGGACACAAATGTCTTCAGAAATAAATCTAACAGCTGGGTAGCTCCTCTACCATTCAAAGAACCACGCCAACGCTTGCCAAACAACAAGGAGCAAGCTATTAATCGATTCTCAAGCCTGCAACGAACCCTCAAGAGAAAACCTGAGATGCAGCAACAGTATGTGGAATTCATGGAAAAGATCTTTACCAACGGACATGCTGAGGTAGCACCACCACTAAAAGAAGAGGATGAGTGCTGGTATCTTCCCACATTTGGGGTCTACCACCCCCAAAAACCCAATCAGATCAGAGTGGTTTTCGATTCCAGTGCTTGTTACTCTGGCGTCTCTCTCAATGATGTGCTCCTCACTGGCCCTGACCTGAATAATTCCCTTGTTGGTGTCCTGCTACGTTTTCGGAAAGAGAGGGTTGCAATCCTAGCTGATATTCAGCAAATGTTTCATTGTTTTTTGGTGCGTGATGACCACCGCAACTTTCTCCATTTCCTATGGTACAAAGACAACGATGTCAACAAGGAAATTATTGAGTATCGAATGAATGTCCACGTCTTCGGCAATCGTCCATCACCTACCGTGGCAATTTACGGACTACAGAGAGCCATCAGAGAAGGTGCAAAAGATCATGGTGAAGATACCATAAAGTTTGTGGAAAGACATTTCTACGTCGATGATGGTGTGGTATCTGTACCATCTGAAGCAGAAGCTATCGATTTGCTCCAACGAACACAGGCTTCATTAGCTGAGTCAAACCTACGCTTGCACAAGTTTGCTTCAAACTCTCAGTTTGTTTTGGAAGCTTTTCCTCCTGAAACTGTGCTCCAGTGATTAAGGACTTAGATCTGAGTGGAGAAACATCTCCCACACAACGGAGTTTAGGTCTGTTATGGGAGATCTCAACTGACACATTCACCTACTCCACATCCACCACTACCAAGCCATTCACCCGTCGTGGAGTTCTCTCCACTGTCAACAGTGTTTTTGACCCTCTGGGTCTACTGGCACCTGTCACGATCCAGGGAAGAGCCCTTCTTAGAGAACTTACCTCTGAAAGTGCAGACTGGGACACATCCCTTCCGGAGGTCAAACTAAACAAATGGGTGGCCTGGAGAAGTTCTCTTCAAGAGCTAGAAAAGCTTCACGTCTCACGTACATACACTAAAACCTCACTAACTGAAGCAGTGCATACAGAATTGTGTGTGTTCTCTGATGCATCAACCAAGGCCATAGGTGCTGTGGCATACCTGAAAGTGCTTCAGAAAGATGGGCAAGTTGAAGTAGGGTTTGTTATGGGCAAGGCGAAACTAGCACCCCTGTCCGAACCTACGATTCCCAGGCTTGAGCTGTGTGCTGCTGTCTTAGCAGTTGAGATGGCAGATCTCATTAAGGATGAGCTAGATCTGGAATTAAATGACATAAGGTTCTTTACAGACAGCAAAGTGGTCCTTGGCTACATTTATAATGAGTCAAAGCGATTCTATGTGTATGTTCACAATAGAGTCCAGCGCATCCTACAGTCCTCAAGACCTGAGCAATGGCACTATGTACGTACTGAGGAAAATCCAGCAGATCATGCATCGCGATCCTTACCTGCATCATGCCTGGCGCAGACTTCCTGGTTCACCGGTCCCTCCTTCCTTCGACAGCCACCTGCAGAAAAAACAAAATCAAGTAAAATGTTTGAGCTAATTGAGCCGAGAATGATGCAGAAATTCGTCCTCAAATCCAAACATGTGCTACTTACCTGGAGGAAGCAGGACTTATATTTACCAGATTTCAAAGGTTCTCCACCTTCACCTCTTTAGTAAGAGGAGTAGCGCTTCTAGTTCATGTCGCCAAATCCTTCAAGCACTCAAACCAAAACAGCAAATGCAAGGGTTGGCACAAATGTGACTTACCACGTACTCCAGATAAGATGGACCAAACAAGGACCTGTATACAAAGCAATGGAGACAAGTTCAGGCGCTTGCAAACCAGTTCTGGACACGCTGGAGCCGTGAATACTTACCTTGCTTGCAACACAGACCGAAGTGGACAGTACCTCACAGAAACCTTCAAGTGGGAGATCTAGTTCTGCTCAGGGATAAGCAGATAGCCCGCAACTGTTGGCCCATGGCCAGAGTCTCTGCTGTATTCCCAGGAAAGGATGGATATGTGAGAAAGGTTGAGGTTTCAACAACTGACCAAGGGAATATAAAAACCTTTCTAAGGCCGATTTCAGAGGTTGTTCTGCTTCTACCCAAAGACTGATCTGGAGATTAGTGTATGGCCCAGAAGTTCATAGTGACCTTACATAGGTCAGGCGGGGAGTGTGTTGCCCTTTAAGAAGTTTCACTTTAAAATATCTTCTTTAAATATTTTAGATACATATTTCCTTTGTTAAAATGTGAAATTCATAATTTATTTAATTAATCTACTTCGTGTGTAAAAAGGAATACCTTTATTTTGCATTATAACATACTTCCTGTTTAGTCACTTCCTGTTAGTGTTCCTGGCTCTTTGTGGAAGCCATGTCAGACATGCGCTCTCTTGGACAATCTAAGCCATCCGCTTAAACTCATCATAGAGGCAATGCCGTAAGTTTATGTTTTGCACATTAGACATGTTGAAGACTTTATATTAGTGATTATTTTGTAAAAAATACAACGTTTAATAACTTTGTTTGCTAGTGTAATTCCTACTGCAGGGAGAACTGTAGTCTGTTTATGTTATGTATATGTGAGTGGAAATACCTGTCAAAACTCAATTTCTGAGAATTGTTTTGTTATTTTTGTTGCAGTTTTCACCATAAATGCTAATAAGAAAAGTGACAGTAAATGATCAAACTTGCTACGACTCTTGTCTTCATTGGCTATGGTTTAACTCGGTGTTTAGTCAGTCACAACACACTGCACGAGAACACTACAAAACCCAAAGATTTGCATATTCACAATGTCTGAAAAATTATAAAAAGTTGATTTGCAAAAAAAGAAATCAATTTTATGAAGATAAAATTAATGAAATTAACTAATCAGAATCAGAAAAACCTACAGTGTATCATTCTCTAAACACACTGGCATCTAAACTTCTGAAGAAAACAAAAACCAAACCCATTCCCAAACAAAACCTTCACAAACAAATTGACAAAACATTAAAATATAACTAGATTATTAAAGTTCGTCGAGACAAACTTCAGGCTGGCTTGAGAAAGCTTTCATTTTTAAGTTTTAAAGCAATTTTAAGTTAAATTAAATGTAAATGTAGCTTAAAGTTTTAAAGTAGTTTTAAGTTAAGTAGCTTAGTTTTAAAGCAGTTTAAAGTTTAAAGTAGTTTAAAGTTTTAAAGCAGTTTAAAGTAGTTTAAAGTTTTAAAGCAGTTTTAAGTTTAAAGTAGTTTAAAGTTTAGCATGATTCTAGCATGAATTAGCAAGTTGTTAGCTTGATTCTAGCATGAATTAGCATGTTACTAGCATGATTCTAGCATGTATTAGCATGTTATTAGCATGATTATAGCATGAATTAGCATGTTATTAGCATGATTCTAACATGAATTAGCATG